GGCCCGTTTGAGGTCAAGGGCATAGTCCGACCTGGGACGTACATATTGGCCGATCTGAAAGGRGACGTCCTCGCGCACCCGTGGAATGCGGAGCACCTGAAGCGTTATTATCCTTGAAATGCCAAAAAGATTTTCAATGGATCTGTAAAGACTGTTTCAAAAGAATTATGATCGGAATAAATGTGATGATTTAATTTCATGCTCCCGAGTTCGACCAGAAATTAAATGGGGGCCACGGACTCCTACGCGATTACATTCCAGCAGTCGGTTAAAATTCAATCCTCCAAAACCTAAGGGTACGAGGTGCGATGCCAAAACCACTGATGAACTTAAAATTCAAAACTTCAAGGTAAAGGGATGATGTGAAAAGTTCAAAATAATCAAGCCTCTGAACCTGAGGGTACGATCTACGATATGAAGAACAGCTACGGACTTAGGATTTTAGCCTTTTAACGTTTTTAAGTTAAGGGTGCGATGTTAAAAAATCCAGAGTTGGTGCAATGCATTGAATGCTAGACAGAGATTCAAGTTCAAACTTTCAAATTATTTTAATTGAAGGCGCGACCTCAAAAGTAAGAGGTGCGAGGTAACATTGGCTGCAGTTCAAAGAAAAAGCAAAGAAAGGAAAGATGTTGCCAACAACAAAGTAAAAACAAATGGGAGCTTCTTTATTGAATAGAGAGCAGAGCCAAGGCTTATAGACCTTGCAGCTCTGCCCTGACACTTACAAACAAAAAACAAAAGAGAAGAGAAGAAAGACAGCGAAAAGCCTCTTGAAGGGTGGTCGCCTAAGAGCCTGCTTGAGGAGCGCCCTCTTGAGTGGTGCCGACCTGATCCTCTTCGAGGTCGGAGTAGTCAGAGTCCAGATCTCTGACGTACTTATCCACCAACGCTTGGGGGCCAGGGGTGCCGCTAGGCCCAGACGCCCACTGCTCAGCGTACCTCTTCTTCAGACCACCGAGATCGATCTGAAGGTCAGGCATGTCGGAAGCAATGCCCTTCATGAGAAACTTGAAGCCCGCGTCAGAGAAGTCTTTGGCAAATCCATCGAAGTCAGGATGTTGCCTAAACGATTCCTCCAATAGGGCTCCATTGCTGAGACGCTCCTTCACCGTCTCCAGCTCCGTAGTCGCATGCTTCAGCTCCTCCTCTTTCGTTTCAAGCGCCTGGAGCACGTCGTCCTTCTCCTTGAGGAGTTGGAACTTCTCCTTCTCCAAGCCCTTGGTGATAGCGTGGGTAGCTCAGAGCTGGACCTTGCGTTTGTCTTCTTCCTTCTTCAGCAGCTCGGCCTTGGTCTCCACCTCGGCCTTCAAAATTTCCACCTCGGAGTGAGCCTTCAGCAACTCATCCTTCATGGTGGAGGAAGCAGCCTCCAAGGCAGCAGAGAACTCCTCTTTCTCCCTCGCTGCCAGACTTCCCTCCCATCCAGCTCGGCCTTCACGGCCAGAATCGATTGAATGGAAGCAACGAACGCCTGAGGAAAGGTACAAAAAAGAAGTTAGACCGAGCTACCTGTTAGGTAAATCGAGCAAAAACACCAATCTTACCTCAGCGGCGTAGTCGATGGTCCTCTGCAAAACGGACCCTGGGTCGCTCACAAATTTGGACGTCCTCCTTAGGCAGCGGTCCAAACTTGC